TACTTTCTTACTCTCCCCCGTTACTATGCAAAGCCCCACAGAGGCCCTTGCACCTCCTCTGTCACATCTCTGTGTTTTTTAAGTTTTCTTAAATAAGCAAGTGTTACTTTCATAAATAGAAACTCCCATATAAACATTAAAGCTTTCTGCAACAAGCATGTATTGTTTTTATAATTGGGAAAAAACACACCATTAATGTTATTTTAAAAAAATTAATTGAAATGTTAGTCAGACATCTATAATTCCCCCTTCCCATCCCCCTTCTATTCTATGTGATCCATGCTGGGAATCCTTTTGTGACCTAACACTTCTTTCTCAAGGTGCAGCACCTTGACTTTTTTTTTTTTTCTTTTACTTCTAATGTAAGTGTGTACGTAGCTCAAAGACCACAAAGCACAGGTCTCCCGGGGGGAGAACAAAGACTATATGAAACTGGTCTGAAAGACCACAGTCATAAAATAACAACATAATAATAAAATCCTGAGGGCTTATCAGGATCAGTTTTAAATATAAATATACCAAGACTTAGAGGCCTTAAGACCACCTGGGGAATGTAAACAAACAATACTGACTGCAGAGTCCTTTTTTCTTCTTATGGTGGAAATTCATGCCTAGGCAGGCAGCTTATCCTGGAAATGTAAGAACTAAGGAACACGGGAAAAGAAACTGGATTCAACTAAATTCTTCTATCATAAATGGAATACTTAAGAAAAAAGAAACTATGCCAAGTTGAGGTACAATATTTTAAGGACCCTATAAACATTACTTTTAATGTCACAATCATTGGGTTGAAGTTTGAAAACTACAGGGTAACCAAAGGGCCAAGCTGGATTGGGACCTGGCAGAGGCAAGCAGCAGCAGGTCACTCTAGCTTATAGTTTGGCCAGCCTGGCACAGCAACCTGAAGGCACTGCTGAACACACCTCCCTCTGGCCGGCTCTCTCACTGAGTCCTGCATCCACTAGAATTCCACTGGCCTGCACAATGCAAAAATGCTAATGAGCCTGGAATGATTTTGACTCTTTCCTCATCTCTTATGTATAGGAGCACAATATTTTCTGAACCCCAAATCAGAACATATGGTTAAACACAGAATTTTTGAGAAACTTCTGGGTACGTGATATAATCCTGAAGTTTAGTTTGGATAACAAAATGTTGACATAGCCAGGATACTGTAATAACACATAGGATGATGTAATAGAAGATTGGAAATTGAGACATTTGGTTGCAGGATCTAAATCGAACCTGTCACCAAATAGTGCCTGTCATTTTTTCCTTTTAAGTGTCTCTGGGAATCACCATGTAATCTAATCTCCCAAAATGTCTTGTCCTCGCTCTCACAGGGTCACGACAACAGTCTCTTTCCTCCTTGGTCTCTCTGCTTATAGGCTCCCCTCCCTTCAATCCATCCTACATACAACTGTCATATTACTTTCCCTACTACACTCCTTTATTATAACACCAACCTGGCTCAGGAAGCTACGATCAATCCGTTTATGTCAAGTTCAAACCTCCCAAACTGCCCTCACCTTACTTCCCTAACCTCTACCAAGAGCGCCTATCCCAGATAGCTTAGCCTTCCTCACACTGTGTGCTTCCACATGGCCTCCCACACCAGTTCATCCCCTCAGTTCCATGGATTTGCTTATGTTATCCCTTTCTCACCCCAAATTCCTTACCCCTTTTACCTACCTAACAAACTCTATCAATTTTTCAAGGTCTAGTTCAAGTTCTTGGACTTCCAGCTCCAGCAATGTAATACCTGCACTGAAAATTCCAAGCCATCATGATTTCTTCCTTCCCTAAGCTCTTTCATCTAACTCATATAGTTATTACATTTAAATGTGTTTAAATTTAAATGTCTCTAAATGTGTTTTCCAGCTAGACTGTAAGCCACTTGAGAGCAGGGACTACTATATTTTGCAGCATCATGCTGAGCACCTATTTGGTGCTCAATGAATACATGTTGGTTGGTTGATTGACTGGTAAATAAATTCTATTTTATAAGCTATTGCGACTATACAAAGGGAGTTGTCATTTTTGACAGAACAAAACAAAGTCAGAAAGCTGGTCACCAGCCGTTCAGACAAACCAATCCCCCATTCAAGGATCAGTGCAGACAAAAATTATCTCTAAACTAGACAGAACCTCTCTGTCCTGACAGGGGAGCAGCCCCAGCCTAGGAATGATGGAGAGAGATCAGGCCTCCTCCCAGGGTGATGTAAAGCACAACTGAGTCCACCTCACACACTCACCTTCAATTCATTCTGGAGAACCAGCTCCTTCAGATTTCCATCCTTCTCATTCAATGATCTGAAGTTTCTCTGAACAAAGAGAGAGTTGTGTTTTGTGGGTCCCACCCTTACTCTTGTGAGAGGGAAGAGACAGTACACATAAGGAAAAGACTATTGTTAAAATCAGAAATAAATCAGAAGCCTAAGTATTTGGGCTCAGATTGACACAAAGAAGGTGAATTCAAAGAAATTTTTCTGGAGGGCCCATTCCCCATATCTACCCACAAACAGAGTAAGAGCCATTCAGGGAAATGCACTTTGGACAATAGAGATGATACAGTGAGAGGATGTCCACCCCATCTGAAACTACACAGGTAATCAGAGTAATCCCCATCCAGTTTTTGCACCTGCCCCTGCTCCACAGGTGTCAATTAATTGAGAACACAAAGCAGCACGCAGACGGTTTGCAGAAGAAAAGGGGCTTTTCAATACATACAAGTTCTGATTGCCAACATACCAGTTCGAAGCTCAATAGCATGGCTTTCAGTCGTCTAATCTCTTCCCTGAGCTCTCTGATCAACTTTACGTTTGCATCCTGAAACAGAGAACTCAGTCACCAGTGATTGATAACAGCTATGAGATCATGCAATTAGCTTGGAAGAAGTACATTATTCCTTTGGAGTACCTTCTGGGGCAGTCTTCTCAAGATGTGGTCCCAGGACTAAGAACTTGTTAGAAATACAAATTCTGCTCCTACTCAACACCTACTAAATCAGAAACTCCTGAGGGCTGGGGCTCAACTGTGGTTTAATAAACCCTCCAGGAGATTCTTATACACACTAAAGTTTGAGAATCACTGTCCTAGAGCAGGTCAGGCAGGTAACACAAATGCCAGGGCATGTACAGATAGTAAGTGCTAATCTTTCTGTACGGTAACTAAACTTAGTACCTGTCTATTTACATCGGCTTTTTAAAAGAATAACTTTTTAAAATCCTCATCTGAGAATATTTTTATTGATTTTAGAGAGACAGGAAAGGGAGAGGGAAGAAAGGAGGGGGAGAGAGAGGGAGAAACATTAATTGGTTGCCTCCCGCATGTGCCCCAACTGGGGATGAAACCCAAAACCTAGGTATGTGCTCTGACCAGAATGGAACCCACAACCTTTTGGTGCATGGGACAATGCTCCAACTGAGCCACCCAGCCAGGACTAATTACACTGCCTTTTAAAACAGTTCACAGGTGGGCTAGATCTGTGTGGCCACCAGTTTGTAATGCCTGCCTTGGAACTGTTCAGCGAAATTGCAAAGCAGATAAGGAATTTTTGGAATATTCTCATTAAAAAATTTATTATATGCCTTTTTTAGCCCAAAACACAGACGTAATTACCATATGCATAGGGAAAAAAAAGCATACATCAACAAAAACTCAGAATAAAATTAGTAAATAAAGAAACTTTTAAATAAGCTTTCTTAGAATGATAATGGTACACCATGAATGTTAAGAGGAATGGTCTTAGGAAAATATCTAAATTATTCATAATAGGTTATAAATGAAGTCGGTAGAGATATCAGAGAAGGGTAGAACACTAGAAGAAAGAATTTCACTCCCTTATCATTTGAAGAACAAGTGTGGCAAGCTAGAGTGAGTACACAAAGAAAGACATCAATGAGAGAGAGAACAAAAGGAGAACTTTGGTAAAGTATAACAGACCAGGACTTCAGATGAAGGTCTCACCTCATTTACCCGTGGCTTGTTGATGATGTTCTTGGCATTGGATGCGTATCTCAGTGTACTCATGGTCTCACTGTAGCTAGTGTGTGCAGGAGACACAGCTGAGGTAAAAGAAGAAAGTTAAAAAACATGCCAAGCCCTCTGACCCAGCCCATAACCACTTGCCTTGCTGCTACTGTCCACGTTGTATAAGAGACCCTTGATGAAATGGGTGGTCGTGGCCCTTTCTCGGAGGCACAGTACCAGTCCCAACACAGAACCAGCCCCAGCATCCCACTCACTGGCAACCATGATGGTTCTGGAGTTGCCACCAAGGCTGTCCTTCAGCAGCCAGGTCAACACGGAGTCCCGATATGGGATGTAAGACTGCCTCCGGGAGGGTCCCCCTCCACTACAGGTCCCAGAAGGAGAGCTAGGAATCCCACTGTCACCACCATTGCTGGTTACACTGTTGAGGCTCTGGCAGCTGCTGAATACTTGAGAGTTCTGGGCTTAAAAGACAAAAAATAATAAAAGTGGAAGAAAAAAGAAATTCTAAAACAAATTCATTAAAAGAAAACAATGGTTGGGGAACAAAGACTTAAGTTCCACAATTCTTAATCCCTTTCTGCATACGGTAAGATCTTTAAGTTTAAGCCCTAAATTAGAGTTTGGGCTTATGACATGGATATTTGAGCTACACAATATTTTAGTCTCTCTTCTTTCTGAAATGAGAGTACAAGATGATGGCCAAGTTGTCTAAAACAACAGATAAATATCAATTTTTATGCTCCAAACCAGAAGGTAACTGTATCAAAAAGAACCCTGTATCTACCCCATTTTGACAAAATGAAAATACATAAGTTATTCTCCAAAGTCTCCCTCCCACTCTGATGAGCCAGTCTATCAGCAAAATACCTAAAGTGGAGATGACAATTCCTAGAGTCACAAGAGACTTGTTGATATTGGCTCCTTCAGTGATCCGGTCCTTACAGTAACTGGGGTCCGCTCTTTCACTAAAACAGTCAATAAAAACAAAAACAAAAGCAAACAAGACAACACTATCCTTATAATATGCTCAAAGACACTATCCATTATGTTGTACATCATGTAAAATACCCACATAATAAGTCCCTTTTAGAATTCAATTCCAGAAAAAAAAGTTGCCATCTTGTGATGAACTGGCATTCTTCTGCTTCTCAGGCTTTAAAAATCAAATAATTCATTACATTTCTGTTTTTATTTTGGCTGCCAGAGCACTTCCAGCTAAATGTAATACTCATTTACAATAATTATATTAGCGTGGCTTTTTGGTATACCTCCCCTCTACCTTTATTGTTTTATTTCACACATTAATGGCTTTATAGTATCTGTGTCATTAACTGTCAACTGTCTCAAATTCCTTTTTAAAGTAAATGGCAAATATTCAAAATTTACACTTCTGATTAACTGATACAGTTTATTCCAGATAGCACTTAGTTTTTAAGGGAATGCTGTATCATATCAATTGTTTAGCAGTTTTAAAATAAGAAAATTTCCTTATTTCATCTTACACTTTTTGATGACCACATTATCCCCAAGACTTTCTTCTTTCTGGATATGTGACTATGATTCATGCTTCCTTCTAATACTTAAAAGGCAGTACTAAATCAAAGGAAAAAAGCATGCTAACTCAGTTACCCCTTCTTAGAGCAGTGGTTTTCAATTCTGTCTGTACAATGGAATCACCGGGCTGCTTTAAAAACTACTGATGCTTGCACCCCTCCTGACTCCACTAATAATCTGATTTACTTGGTCTAAGGTGCAGCCCAGGCATTGGGAATTTTACAAGGTCCCAGGTGATTTTAACGGGCAACTAAGATTGAAAACCCCTGATGTGGAACTTTCCAGGTCCTAGAAGTTATAATTTCTTAATCTAGCATTGAAAGAATTTATTTCTTTTGTAATTTCCTCAGTATTACTGAACTATGAAAAGGGCTGGAACAAGTTTATTCCCTAAAAAATGGGCAAGAACAAGGTCACTGCCAAGGGAGTAATTCCCCTTGGCTTTGAAATCCTAATTACCTGCCTGCTAGGTCCACAAGGTTGATCTTGCTAGTGATTTCAGAGGGCAAGTTGTTCTCCAGAACCGCCTAAGGTAGAAAAAACATTTAAAGCTTGTCATTTGGCACATGTGTTTTTTCTTCCCCTTATACACCCTCCTGACCAAAGTGATATTTTAGATTTTTAGCCACTCATTCAAAAAACTCTGTATTCAAATGTGCCAGATGAGATCACAATATCTGATAGATATAATTCGTAAGCTCTGGGTACTTACTTCACTGAAAATATAAGCAAGACTTCTGCAGAAAAACTGGACAAATCCCACAAAGTCCTCTGAGCACAATGCTCGGGGGCACCAAGAATTTTAGTACAATTTACCAGGCAAATACTCATCTCCCCTCCAGGGGGCTCTTTCTCAGCAGGTTGGGGCCCCTGCAAGAGGTTTGGTGTGTCAGTCTTGTTAGCATGAATCACATCAGGTTAACTGATTTAGGGCAGCGATATGCAACCTTTTTCGTCTCATGGCACACATAAACTAATTATTAAAATATTTTTTGCTGACCTGACAAATAAAATAGGTGTAATTTTGATTCATTCACATGGGATGGCTACTGTTGTGTTGGTTGTTGTCATTTTTTTATTTGACATTCTAAGGGAAAGAGGTCAGTGCCCCTGGCTAGTCAAGTATTGCATACTTTAAAACTTCTTGCAGCACACCAGTGTTGAAACACAAGGGTTGAAAAATCTCTGCCTCTCTATATTCTATTCAGGGGCATCCAGCCCTCAAGAGTGAAACTATTTTTCCTTTTTCTTAAATTCAGTGTGGGTTTTTTGTTGTTTTATTTTAAAACAACAAAATCCAGCTTTAAAATATTCCCGTTTTTCTCAAGTGTGTTTGCAATCAGTCTCCATTCCCATCCCGAGCCCTAGGCGACCATTCATCAACTTTCTATCTTTATAAATTCATCTTCTCAGGATTTCATACAAACAGAATTATACAATGTCTGGCTTCTTTCACTGTGCATAATTATCTTGAGAGTCATACATTTTGAGGTGTGTATCAATAGTCCATTCATTTTTATTGCTGAGTAGTATTCCATTGTATGGTTTGTTTATCCATTCACCTCTTAATAGACATCTGAGTTGTTTTCAGTTTTGAATAATTACAAATTATATAACTTATTACAAAATACATTTTGTACAAGTACAAATATGAATATTTGTTTACAAGTCTTTGTATGGACTTTTTTTTTTCTTGGGAAACACATCTAGGAGTGGAATGGCTAGATCACATGGTAGATATGTGCTTAATTTTTTAAGAAACTGTCAGATTGTTTTCAAAAGTTGTTATACCACTTTCCATTCCCACTAGTAGTTCAGTGTATGAGAACTGCAGCTCCTATACATCTTTCCACTATTTAGAATAATCACTCTTTTTAATTTTAGCCATTTTAAAAGGTGAATAGTGATATCTCATTTGGTTTTAATTTGCATTCCCTCATAATTAATGATGTTGGGCATCTATTTAAGTACTTAACTGCAATCTGAATATTTTCGTTAATGAAGTGTTGGTTCAAAACTTTTCCCATTGTTTTCTTAAGTTTGGAGAGTTCTCTATATATTCTGGATACAAGTCCTTTATCAGGTGTATGTCTTATAAATACTCTCAATCTGTGGCTTTTCTTTTTATTCTCTAGTAGTGTTGTTCAAAGAACAGAAGTTTAAAATTTTGACCACTTCCAAATTTCCATTTGTTCTTTTGTTCACTTGTATTGTTAGTGTCATATCTAAAATAGAACTTTACCTAATCAAAGGTCACAAAGGTTCTCCCATGTTATCTTCTACAAGGAAAATAGTTTAGGTTTTACATTTATGTCTATGATCCAGTTTGAATTAATTTTTAGATAAAGTACAAGGTATAGATCAAAATTGTCTTGTTTTGTTTTAGGTTTTTTTTTAACATATGGATATCCAATTGTTCTACCATTATTTGTTGAAAAGACTAGACATACTCTATTGAATTGCCTTTGCCACTTTTTAAAAAAATAAGTTGCCTATATATGTGTCGGTCTATTTTGGACTCTATTCTGTCTGTTCCATTAATCTATTTTAATGTTAATACCACACTATCTTGATTACTTTAGTTTCATGCAGTATATGGTTTATCCTGGAGAATGTTCTATATGCACTTGGAAATAAGTGTTCTATAGATGTTAACGGTAGTATTATTTAAATATAAGGTCACATTGGTTGATAATGTTGCTCAAATCTATATGCTTGATTTCTGTCTAGTTGTCCTACCAATTATTGAAAGTGGGGTATTGAAATTTCCAACTATTGTTACTGAATTGCCTATTTATTTTTCTTTTCAATTATGTCAAGTTTTCCTTTATGTATTTTGGGACTCCATTGTTTGGAGCACATACATTTTATTTTTTTATTTTTTGGAGCACATACATTTTAAATTGTTGTATCTTCTGGATGTATAAACCCTTTATCATTATGAAATGTCTCTAGTATTTGTCTTTAAATGTTTTTGTTTGTTTTTTTGTCTGACATTAATATAGTACTCTAGCTCTCTTATAGTTATTATTTATAAGGTGTGTGTTTTTCTATCCTTTTACTTTCAACTTATCTGTATCTTTGAATCTAAGGAGTGTTTCTTGTAGACAGCATATAGTTGGGTCTTTTTTACCTAGTCTGATAATTTGTACCCTCATCCATTCACACTTTGTGTGTTCAGAATTATATCTGTTGTTTTCTATTTATTTTCTATATGTCTCATGATGTTTTGTTTTTGTGTTCCTCCTTTTCCACCTTCTGTGTGTTAAAAAAGTATTTTAATTTCTGCTGATTTTTAAATTATAATTTTGAGCTACTCTTAGTGCTACTTAGGCTACTTCCTGCTCTACAGATCAGAATATGCATCTTAACCTACCATGACTGACTTCAAAATAATACTAACTTAATTCCTATAGAATATAGAAATCTTTACTCCATTTTTTTCCTCCTCACTCCTTTATGCTATTAGTCACATATATGACAATGCATACATATGATGTGCAACAACACAACATTATATCACTGTTTTATAAAATTTTGTTCTTTTAATGACATTAGAGGAAATGAGAAAGAATATATCACTTTATTTTAGTCTGAAAGATTTCCTTTAGTGTTCTTGTAACAGAGCTGCTAGCAAGAATACTGGCTTTTTTTTTTTTTTTTTCAGTTTAGGAATGTTTTATTTCATCTTCACTTTTGAAGGCTAGTTTTGCTGCATAGATAAATCTTGATTCACACGTGTTTTTCTCATCACTCTGTTTTCTGGGGTCCAATCTTTCTGATGAGAAGTCAGCCATTAATCATGTAATTGTTCTGTAAATAAGGAGTCCTTTTTCTCTAGCTGTTTTCAAGAGTTTCTCTTTCTCATTCAACAGTTTGACTATGATGTGTCTGGGTATGGCTCTGTGTTTATTTTACTTGGAGTTCCTAAGCATCTTAGATGTGAAGATTAATCTGGGGAATTTTTTCAGCCATTATATTTCAAAATTTTCTTAAGACTATTCTTTTTTCTCTCTTTCTGGAATTCCCATTACACTTATGTTGGGAGACTTTTGTTCCACACGTCTGAGTGGCTCTGTTCATTTTTCTTCAACTTTTACTTGTCTTATTCAAATTGGATGATTTCTATTGGTCTGTCTTCAAGTTTACTAATTCTTCTGCCATCTCAAATCTGCTACTGAGTTCCACTAGTAAACTTTTCATTTCAATTATTATACATTTCAATTCTAGAATTGCCATTTAAAAAAATAATCTATATCATTTTAGTGCAATTTCTTACAGTCATTGTCATCACGCTTTCCTTTAATTCTTAAAATGGTTTCCTTTAGTTCTTTAAACATATTTGTATTAGCTGCTTTGGGGCTGTTGTATGCTAAATCCAATATATGGAGCACTTAGAATCAGTTTTTAATGACTGGTTTTTTTTCTTTAGCATGGATCATACTTTCTTGTTTGTTTTTCCATGTCTAATAATTTTTGGTTGAACTCTAGATATTTTAGATAATGTATTGTAACAATTTTGGATTCTAATTTTTTCCTGTTTAGGGTGATAGTGGTGGTTGTTTTGTTTGGTAACTTGCCTGGTCTAAATCTTTAAAATCTGTGTCCCCACAATATGCAGCCAAAGCAGTCTCTGTAGTTTTTCCCCATAGTTGTTTTTAATTTCAAGGTTGGCTTCTCAGGGACCACCCTGTGTCTGCATAGCTTAGCGTTCAGCCAAAGATTGGTCAGAAGTTGTAATCAAATATCTTCAGCCAATAAGACTTCTATTCTCCATTGATGGATCTATGTGTGGGCTAGGGAATAAATTAAAAGCTCAGGCAGTTTTTAAGTTTACCCAGCATTCAATTCACTAGGCACAGGGCCCTCTGTGTCTCCTCTGAACATATGTGCAGATTCTGCCAGTCAGGACTGTATGGCTGGCTTGAGTCCACTTAGTCTCTGCTATGTGTATGCAGTTTCAGTTCCTCAGGATATGTGAGGATCTTATCACAGCCCCTATGGCTGTATCATCTCTCAGAACTCATTAAACCCCCAGATAGTCTACCAATTCATTTCGTGCCTGAAACAGACCCACAATCTCAGGCTGATGGAGCCACTGGTCCTCCTTGTTCACTTACCACTGAGATCACCACTTTAACTGACAATGCTCCAAATCAACACCTCTGGCAGTGGCAGCAACAAAACTGCTGTTTTTCAGAACCTTCCCTCCCCTGATTGAACTACCTCATTCACAGAGATTGGGGTGTGTGTAGGGATGGGAGCAACCCAAGACAATACACCATACATCTCAGCTGTTCTTACTTGAAATTCAGTAGTTTTTTTGAATATATGTTTCTCAGTTTATTATATATGTCTGTGGTCTATTTTCAGAATAGAGAAATGGTTGTTTTTGACAGTTTTGTCCAGCTTTATAGCTGCTTTTCGGGGACAGGATTTGTTGACCTCCTCATTACATCATAACAGAAGTGAATCTTCTACTCTTTCATTTTAATGCTTATTTTCATTTCGATCTTGCTTTCTGTTTTAAATGCCCATACTGATCACATATATATGAAAGTGCTTTGAAATGTTAAAAGTAAAATATAAGGAGAACCTATTTTGATTAGTCTTATTAAATGTCTCTACCCTTTCTAGGTATACAGCTTAACAGACTTGTAACAGGAAGAAGTCAAAAGGGACTAGGAGAGGAAGAAATCTAACCAAATACAAGAGGTAACCAACCTGTGTATAGTGGATAGTGAAGATGGCATGGGATCTGCTGCTGGCCTCATGAACATGGGTAGCTGCTGTGATTCTATGTATACAAGGCAAGACAATTAGGACGAGGATTGTTTATGCACGGTTTATGCATGGCTGAGGATCCATGGGGAACACAAGAAATGCTAATGCTGAGGTTTACAGATGAGAATTATAAAACATCCATATTTAGTCCAGTATACTTAGGAGAGTGGTCCAATGAGGGCGGGAGGAGAGTCCTAGATACTGATTTATGAGAATAAACAGGAATGTATCTTCATATTAAACTACATTAGGACCTTTTTTTTTAAGCAACAGAAACAAAAATCGCAGTTCAAAAGGGTAATACTGAAGAGTGCTCGACCTGGAAGAATATCCCCAAGACAGATCCATTAAATAATACCAGGGGAGGTAAAGAACTTGCTGGAGAAGAAGCCTCAAAGATAGAGAAAGTTATGACAAAACAGAGAAGATTAATCTTATAGTGCCAGAAAGACCTTTGAAAGGAGATCTTGAGTTATGTCAAGGTCATGCTTAAGCCAGATGAAATTCAGTCTCCCTAAGAAATTCATTCCAATGTTAAGTCAGGAGAGCATTCCCTTTATCTAAATCGAAGTCAGTCATTCTTCAATTTAAGAACATCTCATTACTAGGGAGAAGAGCACTAAATCTTGTCACTGCACCTGCCTGTGGGTACATTACTGTTCCGAGAAAGGCCTCCTGATTATGAATGTAGGGAGTCGCAGAGATGGATGTCGTCACACATGCCAAAGCGGGATGAGAACACAGGACTGAAGAATGGAGCTCAAAACGATGATAGGAACAAACAAATCTGTTACCTGTTTGCTACTCCCTCCTCCAAGAGTTGAATTACTTGCTTATAGCTGGTAACTACATGTTGAGATAAACCTATCAGATTTGTGAAGGAGAAAAAAATTAAATAAAAATTTTGATAAAGTTTAACCTTTTCCTGTTGGTCTTTAAATTTATCATTTCTATATTATATTATTTAGTAGACATGGGGGAACTTGCTGAATCATTCAGATAATAAATTAAATCAACAAATATTAATTGGAAGCCTACTGGTAAGCATAGTGATAGGCTCTGGAAACACAGGTCTCTGCCCTCACAGAGATTTTAATCTAAGACTAATTCATATAGTAGTTACACCAACAACAACCAACCAATAACAACAAAACCCCTTACAATTTCGCTATGTAGGTTATGAAAAAAGTTTCATATACTACTTCATTTGGCCCTCACTAAATTCCTGAAGTATAGAGGAGCTATCTCCCCACAATATGACAGACTCAGTCTGTCATACAAAAAATACAGTAGACATGTCCCTATCTTCTCACAGTTTACAGTGATGAGAAGTTATATTATACATGACAATCTGGACAAGAGCCACGGGAGTAGGATAATAAATGGTAAGGAAATCAGAGAAATGGTCAGGACAGGTTCCACGAAGGAAGTGAGACTTAAATTTGGCCACTGTAGGATGGGGAAGATTTAGATAGGTGAAGAGTTCCCTGAGGACAAGAAAGTAAATTTTTATGACTGGTTACTGGCCAAATCAAAAAGGGTCTTCATAACTATGCTAGTGAATCTCCATATACACAGGCTCATTGATGAGTACAATTATACTAAAAAGTAACAAAGTAATTTGAACACCTACTAAAGTTTTTTTTTGTATTAAAGAATTATTGTTATTATTTAGATGTGATACTAGCTTTGTGGTTATGTTTTCTTTAAAAACATTCCTTATCTTTTAGGGCTACATACTAAAATACTTACAAATGAATTGATGTGACATCTGGAATTTGCTTCAAAATAATATAGGATGGGAAAAGTAGACAGGAATGTGTACAGAGAAGAACTGGCCAAGGGTTAACGGTTATGTCACTGGGTAGTGGATATATGGGGGTTCATTACAGTCTGTCTACTTTTGTGTATGTTCAAAATTCTCTATAATAAAGTTTTTTAAATGTAAGCAAGGATGGACACCTTCTGCTTTTGGTAACAATATAAACCAAGCCTTTCACTGAAGACTATTTTAAAAAGCTGGACATGGGAATATTTCCAAAGGAAAAAATTAAAACATTAACTCAAAAAGGTATCTGCACCTCCACGTTCACAGCAGCATTATTTACAATAGCCAAGATGTGGAAACCACCAAAGTGTCCATCAAATGGATGAATGGATAACTAAGTTGCGGTACATATATATGATGTACACATATATATGTATATATATTTACACACACACACACACACAGTGTATGTACACACACACACACACACACACACAGTGGAATATTATTCAGTAATTAAAAAACAACAACGAGGAAATCCTGCCATTTGCAACAACATGGATGGGCCTTGAGGGCATTATGTTAACTGAAACAAGTCAGACAAAGACAAATACTGTATGAACTCACTTATATGTGAAATCTAAAAATACATACCAAACTCACAGAAAGAGGTCAGATGTGTGATTACCAGAGATGGAGGCAGGGGCAGAGAATTGAAGGAAGGTAGTCAAAAGGTACAAACTTCCAGTTGTAATTAAGTACCAGGGATGTAATAATGCACAACATGACATCTATAGATAACACTGTTGTGATATATATATATGAAAGTTAACAGAGTAAATCCTAAGAGTCCTCATCACAAGGAGAAAAATTTTTTGTTTTTTCTTTTTATTGTATCTATATGAGATGATGGATGTTAACTTTTTGTGGCAATCACTTCACAATATGTATAAGTCAAACCATTATGCTGTACACCTTAAATTTATATAGTGATGTATATCAATTATATCTCAATAAAACTGGGAAGATTTTTTTAAATAAAAGGTCCTGAAACAAACAAAGAGCTGAATGAAACAGGAAGGACATCAGCTTGAAGGCACAGAGGGATAAGCAGATAGTAAAAAAATTTCCAGGCCACCTATTGGAGGAAGATGGAAGCCCAGAAAGATAAGGCTAGCATCTGGGACAAAGGAAACCCCAACTGGCTCCCAACAAAGTAAATGGTACCAAACACCAAATATCGTGTGTGAAGAGGAAACAGCTCAGACCCTGCCCTGTGTCTGACATCTCCCCATCTCCCTATCACCATCAGTGGAAGAGAAAGTACCCTAAAAAGAAGAATGGCCTAGAAACCAGTCTAGGCCCTGTTAGATCTGGCACCACAGACCCAACCTTTTCCCCCTCATTCACCATGTTTCAGACACACTGACCTCCTGAAACCACCAGCAATTCTTTCAGGGCTCCAGCTCATGCTGTTCCCTCTACCTGAAGCATTCTTCCCCTCACTGCACCACTGTTCACATGACAGGCTCCTGTATCCCCTCAGGGGTCAGCATAAAAGGTTACCTCCTCAGAGAAGTTTTCTTGACTGCCCCATGCAGATGGGTTGCCTACAACACCCAATGCTCCTTTCCATCACTGCATCTATTTATTTTTTCATTAGCCATTATCACAACTTGTAATTAGTGCTTGTTTTCTGACTCACCCCCACAAAATTGTAAGCTTGCCTATGAGGGCAGGACTGTCTTTTCTCTTTATCGGTACATACCCAGTGTCTAGTACAGTAGCTGGTACAGAGTAAATATTCATTATACATTTGTTGAGTGAATTAATGATCATTAGGAGAGTTTCCCTGACTCTGGTTTGGTCTCAGATCTCTAGGACCATAGTGGCTCACCTTGTACATAAGGCCCCATCTCTGGGTGCTCCCTGACCCGCAGGGTATAGGACTTTTTTTGATCAGGTGGCTTCAGCAGATCCCTCACTCGTTCATTATAGATTTCTAGAAAACTAGAGACATGCAAAGAGACACAGTTAGATTTTGGAAAATGGCAACATGATTAGATTTTCAAGTAAGTAGGAAAACACCTACAGTCAGAAGGTCCAAGTTCTTGTTCTAGTTCCATCTCTGATACTCCAAGACCTTGATCAAGCCAGGGATCCCCCTTGAGTCTCTTTCTACATGTGTACAATAGGGTTTTTAGCACTGGATATCAACACCTCAGTTTTAGGTTTAGCACATTTTAGCACAGCGTCAGTACTGATTCACAATTTGCCTTCAGGAGGCTATTTCAGCATCGTTTTAGTGTATGCTGTCATCAAACTGTGCCTTGATGAGACCATCACAGCACAGAGTCCACAAGCTTGTTTGCTGAAGTGGTTTTCAAATGTGTTCTCTGAGCTCTCTTATTCTTTGAAGGCATCTCAAGGGTCACTGGTGAGCAATGAAGGAAGCTAAGGAATAAGGTTTTGGCCCCCACCCTAATTTAAGTAGGACAATTCTAATTTTATCTGTTTTATATACCAGGATTCTGCTTAGGATATACTCTATCTTATAGGAATCTACTGGCATTTTAGTCCTTTTAAAAATAATAACAGCTGCCCAGTGTGGTTCAGTAGTTGAGCATCAACCTATGATCCAGGAGATTGCAGTTTGATTCCAGGTCAGGGCACATGCAGGGGTTGGGGCTCGATCCCCAGCAGGGGGTGTGAAGGAGGCAGTCCATCGATGACTCTCTCATCATTGATGTTTCTCTCTCTCTCTCCCTCTCCCTTCCTCTCTCTGAAATTAATAAAAAATATATATAAAAAAATAAAATCAGTAAAAATTTTGATATAAAAGAAAGCAGACTTCCACAGAAAAGTCTTCACCAGAACACAGATGCTTGCCTATGGAATCAGCAGTCAGAAAAAATGGCTCCAACTCAAAGCTGAACTCCATGCACACACTTCTTATAAATTATTTCTCCTTAACCTTCTCATATTTAGACATAAAAACCCTAGATGTCTCTTAGAATAGTGGTTCTCAGATATCATGGACAATAAAACATTTAATATACATGTATATGTTTATACACACACACATACACAAACACATGAGTTTGCAAATTTTTACTTTGCAAGCTTAAAAAATGTAAAAATAATGTTCATAATCATTTAATTTTTCTAAATGGACATTTACTCTTTTGGAGGTGATAAAAATGTTCTGGAATAGATGATGATGATGGCTGGACAACCTTATAAATATCAGGAAAAAATCACTGAATTGTATACTTTAAAAGCATGAATTTTAGCCCTGGCAGGTGTGGCTCAGTTGGTTGAGCGGCATCCCATGTACCCAAAGGTCGCCGGTTTGATTCCCTGATTCCCGTCAGGGCACATGATGGGGTTGTGGGCTTGATCCCCAGTAGGGGGTGTCCAGGAGACAACACATTGATGCCTCTCTCTCTCCCTCTTCTGTCCTCTCTAAAATCAATAAAAACATATTAAATAAATAAAGCATGAATTTTATGGTTTAAAATTATGTCTCTCTCTTTTTTTAAAGGACACTGAACACATACACAAAAAAGGATACAGAGAATCTAAGGGCAATTGGTAACCTTCTGCCAACATTTTCACTACAGACTGGTTAAAACTCCATCTTGGAGTAACCAGCATAGTCTGGGAACTAGAGTTTGGGAACAACTAACCTGGAGAACAACACAGTAGGGGGCTGGAGAAGAAATTCTAAAAGCTAGTATGAAGCTGTACAGAGAGTGAAGCCAGGGCAAACTGGCACAAAGGAGACACCTGCTTGTAAGCCTGAGGATAGGAATTAAGTCTTCTACGACTCAAAGAAAGTATGTTTCTCATCTCCCTATACTGCAAGATATTTCTGCTATGGCTTTTCCCCATTCTTCTGGATGACTCTGGAAGCAAAGAGAACAGCTGAACATGACAGAATTTGGAGTGGAAATAGAAGCACTTTAGGCCCCAGAGCCTGGTAGGTTCTTACCTTACTTTTATCCTACAGGAGGAAGGGAGTGGAGCACAGTCTTCCTCCCGGATGAAGAGACCCTGCATAAACCAGAGGGTTGGAATTTCACTGGAGTGTACAAAGGAGACCTACTTTGAGAGGATCCAGTCAAAAGAGAGTCTATACCTCACATATCCGTGGCGTCAGCCCAACAGAGGCCTGGAAAACAGAAGAAAGGAAAGTACTGCTGTTCACTCACGGTGATGCTCTCACCCCGACACCCAGGAACTGTCCTCAGTGGGGGGGAGGGGAGAGCAGGCACATGGGCTCCCTGTACTAGCCTCTTCACTTTAGGGAGTTTCACTGGCTATATGCAGAAGCCTCTATTCGCCAGTGCTCTCAGGAGACACTCCTGGGAGGAATGCACCAGATGAAAGGCTGATCACCACCACAAGAAGGAAGAGAGAAGGTAGCAAACCCAGATAACTGCTTCTGTGAAATGGAATTTCATCCTTCTTGGATAAACCCAGTTTACCATGGTGGTTCCTCCCAGAACCTACCTCCTGTTTCTGCACACACAGGAGAATTAGAGTACAATGGTGTTCAAAATACACATTTAGAGAGAAGTAGCTTCCCTTTTTATCTTGGATCCAGTGCTAACCTGTACTCAGGTTAAAGGCTTTATACCTCTGCTTTAATGAGCATTTTCTTCTTTTAATTTCAAATATATAAAATCACACTAAACATGGACATAGTGAGCATGAGCTGGGCCCAAACAGCAAGGATAATCTTTCAGGAGGAATAGTTTTCTAGAGAATATCCCTGTGTAGTGCTATTTGTCACTGTTCCACCAGTTCATCTCACCAGGGGACTTCTAACCCCAAAATAAAGAGGTATTCTTAAGGAACTCTACCCTTCTAATTTTCCATGATAAAGAAGGCTCTTATAAATCCTACACACTATTGCAAGCTCCCATCCCAGTAACTGATTCTCCTACTTCTTCCTAACACTCAGGTCTAACACACATAGCCTCATTTCTGTTCAGCCCCAGCCAGCACTTAACACTCAGTCTGGGTCTTATGATACGAGAAATTCAGAAGGACTGACAAGGTCTGCTTCATCAAAGGGAGTTGTAAAATTCTAAGGTTCTTCAGGGTTTAGTAGAGCTAATTATTCAAAGTTTATCCTTCAATTAAAGTGCTTAGAAACCCATTCTTAATACAGTAGAGGGTCCATTAAATCTTGTTAAAGTTTACTGACTATGAAATTCACATTCTCTTTCTCAGTGGCAAGGACAATGCAAGATTCAGGCTTGTTGTGCCATTGGGAAGATATCTCATTCCAATACCAATACTCACTGGGGTCCCCAACATGGTGTATGTCTTCCCAGAGCCTGTCTGTCCATAGGCAAGAAGGCAGATGTTATAGCCTTTAGCAGCTCCAGACAGTACTTCAGTCCCCAAATCCTGAAACACCTGTAATAACACAAGTAAAGAGCATGTCACTGTGTCCTTTTCCTATAGCAGATTTAGAATTATTTTTTAATCTAAAAATTTTACACAATGTTTCAAACATACATAACTATAAATTCTCCACCATTTCACAAGAATCAATTCAGTTTCAGAAAAAGATTGCCAAGGAAAATTCATTCATTCATTCAAATACTTTTAAAAGTTCTTACCATATGCTGGGCACAATGATAGATGTTAAAGTTACAAAATTTATACAGTCTCTAATCTTAAGGCAAAGAAAGGAAAAGACATGCAAGCAAATTACTGAAGAAAGACCATGTGCATTAATACTTTTTCCTTCCCATTACAAGAAAATGTTTCATATAGTTAATCAGGTAAAGCTATAATGAAATATTTCCCAGAACATATACAAATTCAGGATCTCAATACACCACAGTGAGGATCAGTTAAACCCAGAAATCAGGGAGGAGTTTTCCCTATGGATCTCTTTTCTGTATGCTCTCTCCTTAGTTTGATCCTAACAGCTCACTGGTTCTGCTGGTCACTCATCTCTGTGGTGGTCAGCTTTATTGAGTCAGAAACAGCAGAGGTCTTTATGTGAAAACCCATATAGAGTATTTTGTGTAGCACCTGAAAGTTCTGTTGGATGCTGTAGGCAGACCCTGGTGTCAAGAAAAAACAGCCTGGCTCACAGGGAACACAGAGCTTCCCAGTTCAACCAGTCCTCAGCAGGGTGCCACATGGACATCCCCATCCTATGGTTGTATGATGGACATATACCCCTTGAATTATTGTTGCTCAGAATTCAAATACTCTTCCTATTTGGAGGAAGTCTCTGATTTTGTGAGTCTTGGTGGGAAGCAAGGTCCAACCCTCCATGACAGAAAACAGGCAGGCCAGAGACTCCTTTCTACCTCCTGGCAGCCAGAACAACAAGTTAAATAAGGCTCACCAAACTAGGTGTTCCAACTTGGATTTTGAAAGAATGACGCAAAAACGAAGGAATAGTGGGTAAATTCTCCATGGTGGAATCAAGAGCCCAACAGCACTGCATCTTGAACAAACAGTAGTACAAGTGCCAAGTATGGTGACTACATCACAAGAGTCTGTGGTATGGCTTTGCCTGGCTTCCCTGCTACCTAGGATCCTGTGGTTTCCTATCCATTTTTTCAACTTTTTCTTTAATTCTGTGAACGACCTGATATGGTTCTAAATTGGAATGTGGCTTTCACACTTCATAGCTGTGTGATCCTGAGCAAGTTACTTAAAATTTGTAAGCCTCAGTTTCTTTAGCTGTGAAGTGGATATTTTGTATCTCTATCACAGGTTTGTTATAAAGATTAAGTGAGCTAATACACATAACCAGGGGCAACAGGACAAAGAAGTTGCTGGCTCAAGACTACACTACTTTGGTTCTATGTTTTAGCAGCTGCAGTTAGGCTTCTGGACAGTGAACTATTTGTTTTGTTTGTTCATTTTCAATGTTTCTAATATTCAGATATAGGGCCAAAAAAAAACAACACAACAGGTATAGGGCCAAAAGAACCCACGGAGTGGTGAAATATTGAAGCCTTGTACCATCTCTACCCCCCAATTTCCCTCCCAGCTCTGCATTTCTCCCTCCCCATTCATTCACTCCTATATTAGCAAAGCTAGGGATCTGGCAGGGTTCTCTTTGACTCCTGACATCTGTCTGGGTTACATTCCCAGGGATTGAAGGAAGGGTTGTTTCTCTTCATCAGACCATTTGAGTTGGCTGTCATCCATTTACTAATTGGAAAACGCTCCACAAAACTCAACCTTTCTTTCTAGTGCCCCAGTAGGAAGTGGGAACAGAGGTGCAGACAGAGACAGCCCACATCTAGTCCAAACGCTCTTTCTTCTCACCATTTACACACAGTTCAGCAGGGTGAGCTCAGTGGATTGTGAAGGAAACAACAAAATGTTACTTTGTCCATGTCTTTATCCAAATTCAAATAATTGCCCGGAGGTTTTATGAAAAACATCTTTGAAGATACCATTTTTACTCAACAGTAAAAGATGTCAACAGGCAAACCCAGTAGACTCCAAACCCGGAATTAGTGTAAACTGTTAAGATATAGCTACCATTCTGCAAGAACTGGGATGCTTAGCTCAACATAAGTTCCAGGAAAAAGCACAGCCCTAGATAGAGTACTACAGGGCCAGCTGATACCATGGTCTACTCTCACTATGATAATATAATAAAGCAGATGGAAAAAGCTCAGTGTGAATACCAAGAACAGACTGAAAGCTAAAACAAGTCACCAACAGGTACCTAAAGATAGAGGGTCCAGTTCAGGAGGAGAGGTGGGCAGCGTCAATTTTTTCTCTGGAGTATAAGTAGAAGAAAGTGTTCAATAGACATATTAACTGTATGTAATGGAGTACTTCCACGCTTTTAAGTACTAACTACATAGGGGACAACCCACCAAGTGCTGTTGTATGGGGACTCCCAACATCTGAAGCCAAAACCAAAAGCCCTGCCAATACCCATTTCCTAAGGGCAACTGAATCCAGGAATCAGAATTTTTTTAAAAAGTAAGTTCCCAAAAGAATGAGAAGACAAGCCACATATTGGGAGAAAATATTTGCAAAGGACTCATCTGATAAAGGACTGCTATCCAAAATATACAAAGAACTCTTAAAACTCAACAATTAGAAAATGAACAACCCAATTATAATATGTGCAAAAGAGCTCAACAGATATGTCACAAAAGATATACAGATGACAAATAAGTATATTAAAGATGTTCAACATCATATGTCATTAGAGTTGCAAATTAAAACAAGGAGATAACGCTGCCACATATTTATTAGAATGACCAAAATCCAACGCACTAGCAACACCAAATGTTGACATGGATGGGCAGCAACAGAAACTCTCATGCATTGCTGGTGGGAATGGAACAGTCACTTTGGAAGGCTGTTTAGCAGGGTTTTTTAACACAAAACTAAACATGCTCGCCCTGACTGGGCGGCTCAGTTGGCTGGAGTATTGTCCCATATACCAAAAGGCTGTGGGTTCAAATCCTGGTCAGGGCGAGTACCTAGGTTGCCGGTTCAATCCACAATCTGTGCATACAGGAAGCAACCGATTGATGTTTCTCTCTCACAACCATGTTTCACTCTCTCTCTCTCCTCTCTCTCTCTCTCCTTCTCTCTCTAAAATCAATAAAAACATAACCTCAGGTGAGGATTTAAAAAAAAAAAAGCTAAACATATTCTTATCATACAATCCATCAATTGCACCCTTTGATATTTATCCCACGGAGTTAAAAATTTAAGTCCACACAAAAACCTGCACACTTAGCATAATATTCTCCAGGTCCATCCATACTGTCTCAAAGGGTATAAAATTAAAAAAAATAAAATTAAAAAAAAAAAAAAAAAGACAAGGAATTTCCATAAACCATAAAATTCTTAAGCAGAAAATGAGGTGATGGTATAGTCACATACTTTTTCTTTTAAGCAAAAGCTGACCTATAATAAAAACCTTCTCTTTTTTGCTAAAAAACACAACAAAAAAACAAAAACCTGCACACGATGTTTACAGCACCTTTCTTCATAACTGCCGAAACTTGGGAGCAACCGAGATGTTCTTCACTAAGTGAATGGATAAATAAGTGGTGTTACATTCAGACAATGGAATATCCAGTGCTAAAAGAAAGGAGCTATCAAGCCATGGAGTAACCTTAAATGCATATTACTAAGTGAAAGAAACCAATCTGAGAAAGCTAGATACTGTATGATTCCAAGTATATGACATTTTGGAAAAGGCAAAACTATGGAGACAGTAAAAAGATCAGTGATTGGCAGGGGGAGGGTGGTATGGTAAGTGGAGCACAGAGGAATTTTTAGGGCAGTGAAACTATTCTATATGATACTATATGTTGTATACATGTCATTATACATTTGTCAAACCCACAGAATGTACAAAACCAAAAATGAACCCTAATGTAAACTATGAACATCGGGTGATGATGTGTCAATCAATGTAGGTTCATGGACTGTAACAAATGTACCACTCTAGTGTGAGATGTTGGCAGCTGGAAGGCAGACGGTAAATGAGATCTCTCTGTACTTTATACTCAGTTTTGTTGTAAATCTAAAACTGCTATAACAAATAAAGCCTATTTTTAAAAAGATCAACATAATAAATCTTAAAGGATATCCTGCCTCAATATCAGCAACATTATCAGACATACCCTTCTTGAAAACAGCTAGAATCAACTATACCACTGAAGATTTCATGACGGTTTAAAGTATAATAGCCACCTGTATTTTCCTAAAGACATTTTTCACTGATAGATTCTTTTATTTTCTGGAATAAGAGATGGTAATTGATGAGGGTATTAGCATATCTGGAGGACAGGAGACAGAACACGAAGCTCAGGGTTGGAGTGAACAAACTCAGCATAGTCCGTCAGATCCAGTTTATCATCACTTGATGGTAGATTTTATTTGTTTTCAGTAGCCCTGCAGTTCTTTCTATTATACATTATGCTCTCCAAACTCCAAGTAAACTCATAACAAAAAAATCTGTGACTACAATTTAAGATGAAAAAGTGTTCAAAACAATGAAATAAATACTGATTCCAAATACAGGTTTCAGAAGTTGTTGAATGAGTGAGAAGTAGGAGGGGCATTTCAACTGCTGCAAACTATTCAAACATATGTCTTCACTAACGCTGTTACTTAGAAAACCTCAAGTAACCCAGAGTTGTACTTACACATATCATCACACAGAGATGCTGAGGTAAGGTTGATACTATTTGTGGCTCTATTGACCCATCCTCTCTCCAAACTTGTGGTAGAATATATAGAAAAGTAGGGTTCTGGGTCTACAATTTGAAGAGAGAGCATTCATATAAAATACATAACATAATGGGGCCTGGACTTGTGTAAGGGCTTAGAATTATTCCTCTTCTTCTAAACAGCTATATTTAGAGTTTAGTGGTTAGAACACAAGCTTTGGAACTTTC